GTGCTTTGCCGTGTGGAGCAGTCTCCCACGCGGAGCAGAGCTGTTCTGATCGCGGCTATTGCTGGTTTTCTCTGAGCTGCAGGTGTGGGACGAGCTTCCCCCAGAGGTGTTTGCAGATGACTCGAGGGACCGCACGAAACCGCACGTTCACTGCCGGGGGTGGGCAGGGTCTATCTCATCCGGTCCTCACCGGACACTGCTCTTTCCCAGTTAGAGACTCTCCAAGCGTCGTACGAAGACCTGAAGGCACAGTCTCAGGAGGAAATCCGGCGCCTCTGGTCGCAGCTTGATTCCACCAGGACCGACAGGCAGGAACTGAATGGTGAGGAATTTTGTGTGGAAAATTTTTTAAATCCTCGAAAGCTAAAGTTGTGAGTTTTTAGTTGTTAAGACCCCAAACTAGAATTTAATAATTGTAGCAAGGACAAAAAAGTGATTTCGTAAACTTACTTGTTTTACATTTTGAAGATTATTTACGTGTGTAGTTTTATGATGGAAATTTGTTTGTTGGGAGAGAGCCTTGGTTTTCCCTCGCGAGCCAGCTGAGTGACGACGTGTCACTCTGTGCCCTTGCACCTGAGATCGATGTTCAAGTTTTAGATGGACCGGTGGCCCTTACTTTTCACCTAGAAAGTGCTGCAGAAATGTGGCTCTCCGCTGCATTTGGGGTTGCAGCTCAGTGCCTGCCAGGTGGACCTGCGCTCCCTGCAGTGGCTGCTGGGGGCTCCCGTGGCTCCAGCCCCACTATGCTGAGGCAGCTCTGCTCCAGGCCCCTCATAGCTGGGCTCCGCGGAAGACCCCGAGTCCCTGCCCAGTCCTTCCACGTCAGAGAGGCCTCTGCTTAGCAGCGACAACAGGCGCTTCAGGGTGGACGGAGCCTCTCGTGCCCACAGGCAGGTGGTGGTCAGGACTGGCAAGGGCACAGGGGATACAGACAGACTGGAGTGAGTTTTCTGGAGTTTACTATAGACAGAGCCTTTTTTTTTGGATAAGGTCTTGCTCTGTCTACTGGGCTGCAGTGCAGTGGCATAATCATGGCTCACTGCAACCTCCAATTCCTGGGCTCAAGCGATCCTCCTGCCTTAGCCTCCCAAGTAGCTGGGACTGCAGGTGCCACCACCACGCCCAGCTGATTTTTCTATTTTTAGTAGAGACAGGGTCTCACTCTTGCTGAGGCTGATCTTGAACTCCTGAGCTCAAGCGATCCTCCCACCTTGGCCTCCCAGAGTGCTAGGATTAGAGGCGTGAGCTACCCCTAGTCCAGACAGAGCCTTTAAACTCACTAATTTTCCCTGTGGGTAAATGTGATTTGGAACAAAGATTTGGTCCTTTATCAGAAAGGACCAAAAATAATGCTGTTTGGGACTCGCAGTCTCACACCTGGTGGCTCTGCCTCCAGCCCTGAGCTCTGTCTGGTGGCAAGGGTGGGGGTCCTGCCAGTTTATCTTTCTCTTGGGGTCCGTCTGCACTGGAGGGGAAGGAGAGAGCTGGTGGGCCACAGACGGCTGCTGTCACACACAGGTGCCAGGTCCGCACGTGGCACTGCAAGCCCATCCTGTGTTCTGGGCACCCGTCCAGAGGACCGTGATGTGAAGTCTCTGGGGTGGTGACCGGCTTCAGTCCTCATCGTTAGTCCTTGATTGCTGTAGACCCGCCGCTGCCTTCTCTGGACCACAGTAGCCACGGGGACTTGTTCTCTCATGGTCTGTGTTGCTTTTCTGTTGCTGTCTAACAAATTATCACAAACTTGGTGGCTCAAAACAACATACATTCATTAGCTCAAAGAAAGTCTGGGATGGTGTGGCTGGGTTTCTGCCCAGGGTCTCCTACAGCCGGAATCTGGGTGTGGCCCATGTGCTGACCTGTGTCTGCTTCTAGGCTCGTTCAGGTCCTGGCAGTACTGCATCTGGTGGGTGCAGGACCAGCATCTGTTGCCTTCTGGCTGTGGCTGGAGCCGCTGGGCCTGAGAGGCCACCTCCTCTTTCCACGTGGAGTGCTCAGCCGGAGAAAGCGTTCTGCTCCTAGGGGCCTGCAGATCAAAGCCATGGGAGGGGTCCCTTGTCACACTCTCAGCTCTGAGACTGGGGCCTGCACACCACAGGGTCTTACCTGTCTCCTGGTTTTCCATGTCTCATTTTAAGATAATTGCGTGATTTCATCCTGTTACAGAGTTGCACGAGCAGTTCCTGGCGAGAGCATCTCACGTGGAAGAATTGGAACACCTGAAGCGAGATTTTGAACAGCAGCAGCAGCAAGAAAAAACCCAGCATGAATCTGAACTAGAGCAATTGAGAATTTATTTTGAAGAGAAATTAAGAGATGCCGAGAAAACCTACCAAGAAGACCTGACTCTGTTACAGCATCGGCTACAGGAGGTCCGGGAAGATTCTCTACTGGGGTCTGTGGAAATCAGGTAAATAAAGCAATTTTTATCTTAAATGTGTTCCTAAAATATAGGAACTTGTCCTGAATTCAGATCTAGTTTTGTTTGTCATTTCATGCTGACAGAGACCAATAGCCTTTTGTTTTAGAAACACACTTCATGTGTTTCAAACACACTCCAAGACAAGATGATACTAACCGAGTCTCTGACCTGCACATTTCTGCCGAGTCGATGGCAGGTGCCCCCTCCACCCCCAGCCTGGGTCTCAAACCCCCACCCCCTCGGTGGCCCTGGCTGGGCCGCGCACAGACTGGCCGTGGCCCCTGCACCTGGGCGCCACCTGCCCTCGCTGTGGAAGTGAGAAAGGGGTCTCTGCACTGTCAGTCCCAGGACATGGTGGAGCCCACGTGGAAGAGGGGCACGTGCGGTTTGTAAAACATGTTTTCTCTCCTAGTTTATCTTGTACACGTTTGGAAGAGACACCTGAAAAAGGAAAAACAGGTCGTCTTGATCAACTTGACCTTCAACCTGAGCAACATGAGGTAATGGACCGATCACTGAGCAGAGGCTGCGTTTTGTGTTACGGGATCTGTGTTTGCACCCTCCCTGACACTGCGGGTGGAGGAAGGCTGCTTTGATACCAGTGGATGCCCCTGGCGAGGCCATTTGCTGCCCAGTGCTCATCTCTTCATGCACTTTCTTCCCTTTTCTTTGAGACAGGGTCTGGCTCTGTTGCCCAGGCTAGGGTGTGGTGGTGTGATCACAGCTCACTGCAGCCTGAAGCTCCTGGGCTTAAGCAGTCCTCCTGCCTCGGCCTCCGAGACTGTTGGGATTACCGGCTCGCCCCGCCATTGTCAGGCTCTTGATGCACTTTTTGATCAAGCGCATAGATCCAGAAGGGGAAGGTGGGGTCAGCAGAGCTAGTCCTTGCCTCAGCCCCTCCCTGTAAGGGAGGCCTTCTCCCCACCAGGCACGTCTCATACTGCCTGTTGTCAGACTTGACTTTTCGACAGTTTGAAGGGTGTGAAATTGTGTTTTTAGCTGGAGTTACATGTTACACATCTTTTATGTTTCTTCTTCCTTGAATTGCCTCCATGCCATCGGTTTCTGTCATTTTTAACCTCTGTGGAACAGCGCTGTCCAAACAGTGTTTCCTGGGACGATGGGCAGTTGTGGGTCTGGGCCGCCAGTGTGGCCTCCAGGACGTCCTGTGAGCACCTGCCGTGCGGCTGACCTCGCTGTCACCAACTGTGATTCCCTGGAGCGTCGGCCGCCGTCCCAGGCTCCGCGGCCCTCGGTGCAGTGCACTCAGCTTCACCTGGGCCCTGACTCTCGGTCAGAGTGGCTGCTGTTCTTGGTCGTTTAGGTTGTGTCTTAGCCCAGGAGGCCTCACCAAGTCACACAGACTGGGTGGCTCAAACCACGGACATTGATTCTCTCCCAGTCCTGGAGGCAGGACGTCCGAGGTCAGGGAGTGGCAGGGCTGGTTCCTCAGAGGCCTCTCTCCTCCGTGTGCGGACGGCGTCTCCTCCCTGTGTCCTGGCAGGGTCGTCCCTCTGTGTGTGTGTGTGTCCTCAGCTCCTCTTCTTAAAGGGCCCCAGTCAGACCATCAGGGCCCACCCTAGTGACCTCATTTAATCTTAATTCCCTCTTTAAAGGTGCTGTCTCCGAATACAGTCACATTCTGTGGTCCTAGGGTTAGAGTTTCAACATACGAATTTTGGGGCACACAGCTCAGCCCCTCTTGGGGGTCTCCCACTCCCTGTGAGTCCCAGGAGAGGGTGCGAGGTGCTGCTCCCCTGCCTCCCGGAGGCCGCCCCCACCCACGTGCGCGCAGGGTCTGTGTGCCTGACGGGTGTGACGCGGACGCCGCGGCCGAGCCCTCGCTTGCCGCCTCCTGGTCCGCATGTGGCTGCCCTTCCCGGGTGCCGTGTCTGCTGCTCCTCAATGCCTGGTCTGCCCCTGGGTCTTCCACTCACCGCCATCCAGTGTGTCCTGCACTCTCGTTCGCAGGGTCCCTTCCCCGTGTGCCCGCAGAGCGAACGTCCCCTCAGCGGAGCGTGGGAGCTGGGTGAGCGGGGCCGGCCGCGTCCTCGCACATCTGTGGTGGCTTGGCTCTCCTGGAGGGGACTCTTCTGTCATCCCCGGTGCTGCTGGAGCGCTGTCCCTCCCCGGTGCCCTCTCGGGCCCCCTCGCCGCTCTGTATTCCAGGAGTCCGAGACACCTCAGTCTGTCTGTCCTTCCGTCTGTGCCTGTTTTTCATGCTAGGAACAAGGCAGGGCCTTTGAATCTCAGACTCTACCTTCACTTCTGGGAAATCTTGTGTTTTATTTATTTTGATCACTATTTTTCTCTGCATTCTTCGTCCTCTTTGCAACCCCTGTGAGACTCACATGCAACCTCCAGAGTGAAGCCACGGATTTTCTTAGATTTTTATCTCTCATCTTGTATCTGTTTTGCTTCTATTTTGTGAGAGGGAGATTTTCTCTACCTCTCTTCTAATTTCTTCAGTTGAATTTATTTCTTTATCGTTTTTAATTTCTAGGGGCTTTGCTTTGCCCTGTCATTTTTTATGTCCTCCTATTCCAGTTTCATAGACGGAATGGTTTTGCTCACCTCTCTGAAGACAGCAATTAGTGTTTTAGAGACGTCTTCTGCCTCCCGTGTGTCTCTGCTTTCCGTCTGTCTGGGCCCTGTGTTTGGTGTCCGCTGCGTGGCTGTGGTTTTGGTCTGTCTGGGCCCTGTGTTTGGTGTCCGCTGCGTAGATGGGGACCTGCGCTGTCTGGGCCCTGTGTTTGGTGTCCGCTGCGTAGGTGGGGACCTGCGCTGTCTGCCTTCCTGTCAGGCGTGAGCCCCTGTAGTCTTGGGGACTCTGCGCCAACTACAGAGCTGTGCCTGAGGTGCCGGTGGTGTCACCTCACTCCAGGGTCGTTGTCTCTCCCAGAGGCGGCTCCTCCATCTCCTGTGGGGTCCTTGCTGGAGGAGAGGAGGGTCCCTGCCGCTGCCTCCGCAGGGGAGCAGGGCCTCCATCCCCCGGGCATCTGTGGAGCACACCCTGTGCTGCTCGGTCCCTCCCTGCAAGCCTGGAGGCGGCAACACCCTGTGCTTTCTGTGGGTTGCCGCCCCCTCTATTTCTTTTCCTTCTATGTTTATAAATTGAATTTTCCCCTATTATCTTAGTCATGTTTTGGGAGGGCAAGGAGATAAAAGTGATGGATTGTGCATCCTGAGCCTGTGGGCGCCTCGCCCGACCCACGGACCGCATCTCGCTCTAGTTGCGTTTCTAGGATCGCTGATGGGCTTGAGTGTCTCCTCACGTGTTTGCTGACCACCGTCCCCTCGCTGGGGGCAGTTCCCGTCTCATCTCCGGGCCCATCGTGGGGGTCTCCATGTGGCTGCTCGTTGGTCCTGTCTTTCTCGGGGAGGGGCCGGGGGCTCACGTGCCGCGGCACCTTGTCCCTGTGCTCAGGCAGGACGGTTCTTTGCTCTGTGCACTCGGTGTCTGGGGGCACGAGTCTGTGTTATCCGTCTAGCCCATTCCTGTAAGAAATGAGAACGAAGTCTCCACTGAGGAGGCAGCTCGAGCTCATTAGAAGCGTTACGTTAGGTTACTGTGACTCCTCTATGGTTTTGGAGGACAGTGGACCTGCTGGTTGCATTTGAGGGGAACAGGAAGATGGTGAGCACACACGGAGCCCTTCACTCGCTCAGTCCTCCAGTCCTCGAGAGCTCACTGAGGCCTGTGCTGGGCCGGGATCCCCGGTGGGGGCGGCACAGGGCGCTCGTCTCACGCCTACGCTGCCCAGGTTTACGTGGGCTGTGCGTGTGGTCTCAGGAATCTGAGGTTTGTGTGTTTTCTTGGCACACAGCAGGAAACACCTTCGAGGGAAGTGACAGTGAACAAGGTCCCTGGGCTCGTTAACAGTCTGTCCTCTGTGGTTGCCCCGCAGGAGAGCCCGGCGTGCTTCCAGGCGGAGTTGGTAGAAAACCACACGTGTGAGTTAGAAGCGTGGAAGTCTCCTCTCCGCACCCAGCATGAGCGGGACGTCGTGGACAGATGCCTCTTGGGGACAGAGGTGTTGGGACGGGAGCACCTGGAGCTCGAGCGGCTTCCAGCTGCGCTCCCGGAACACAGCCGAGGTGGGTGCTCCCCGTTGGCCACCTGGCTCTTTGTCCCTGAGGGGTGTCGGCAGCCGTGGGCCTGTGGACATCCTGGCGAGGCTGGGAGCCTCGGTGTGCTCTGACTCCTGTGAAGCACCTGCACGCTCGGGCCTCCTGTGTGGGTGCCGGTGGCCTCCCAGAGTGTGTCCAGACACCGCAGGTTTGGCGTTGGGTGGGGCCGCTGCCTGGCGGGCTCCCTGTAGGGCTGGTTTCTCCAGGCCGTGTTGGCAAGGGTGGGTCTGGCCGGGCAGCAGCCCCAGTGCTCACGGGGGTTGCTGGGGGGTAGTGGCTGTTCTCCTCTGGGAAGGGGGATGTGCACTGGGTGGGCCTGGGGGCTTCTCTAGGATCCTGCTCTGCTCCCAGGAGGCCCAGAGTGGGCAGGTGGGCAGGCCTGGCCCAGCTGATCACCTGGTCGGACTGAGGTGGTGGGACGCCTAGGCAGAGCATGGGGGATGAGGCCGTGGGTTGATAGGGAGGCGGCGGGATAGAGAAACCAGTCATCCCAGGGGTGTGTTTCAATGGGACTGCACAGTGGCCCCTGTTACGGACCCCACGAGGTGAGGGCAGGGCTGCCTTGAGCTGCCTGGACGCTCGCTGCCTGGACTTGGCTCAGCCCTGGGTGTGGCGCCATTGCTGTCTGCGGTGGAGGTGAGCAGGCCCAGGTTGAGAGCTCCACGTGGAGGGTGTGGTGTGATCAGGCACCACCCCGGGGTGCTGTGGCTCGAGCTCACTCAGGCTGGGCCAGCGGTGGAGGGGAACACAGGCCCCGCCCAAGAGTCGAGGGGCTGGCACACAGCGGGTGCCGGGGTCTCTCCTCAGGTTGTCTTTCTTGCACCAGAGGCCCCCGCAGCCCCACGTGACGTGTTTGGTGGCTGGGCCTTTTCCCTGTGCTCGGCTGGTCCTCACTCTGGTTCTAGGAGTTTGTGTCTTCCTCTTCGGCAGAGGAAGACATGGTGGGGGGGACGTGCTCGGCTCCCAGAAGCAGCATGGGGGCTGGGGTGTGAACCCCGCGGGCCCCTAACCTCAGGCTGGTCCTCGTGCAGACGCCTCGCAGACCCTGAGGATGCAGATCTGAGCACAGGCAGGAGGCTCACCCCGGGTAGCTGACAGAGGCTCATGTGTCACCCCTGCCCTGAAGGAGCAGCGGCTGCTGTGCTGACCCGAGGTGACCTGGGGCAGGGCTGTGCCGGGGCAGTGCTGGACGCGCACCCCGAAGGGGACACTTGAGAGAGCCGTGTCTGCGTCCGTCACTGAGTTAGCATAAGAACTTTAAAATTCAAAATGTCTTGACTGATGTGTTTGAAAGTCACTGTTCAGCTGGGGTGGCACATGGGCTCCCTTGGGGCTGGCCTTGGCATGTGACTGCCTTCCCTCCTCCTCCCCCGCAGAGCTTGCTCTGGTGCATCCCCCGTGTGCACAGGACGCAGCCTTGGAGGTTGACACCGAAGTGGCTGCCAGAGTCTTGGACTTGGAAACCGAGCACAGAGTTAAACTTTCACTTCTTCAGACTGAGCTCAGAGAAGAAATTGAGCTCTTAAAAATAGAAAACAGAAACTTACATGAGAAGTTGCAGCATGAAATCCGTCTGAAAGAGGACCTAGAGAAGGTGAGGGGTGACTCAGGTGAGGGGCCGCCTGCCTGAATCCTCGTCTCTTCCACTCGGAAGGCTCGTGGTCTTGTTGGGGCCCCCAGGGTCCGGGGACAGCCCAAGACCACACACACCACACTTGTGAGGAGGCCGGGCCCCACGTGTCCTGGTGACTGTTCTCGCAATGTCGTTACGGTGTGGTGTCTGCGTAGACCACCAGGGTTCCATCCTGAGGCAGAAACTGGCCAGGTGTCCTCGGCAGGCTCTGGGAGGAGGCATGAGCCAGGTGGTTGTCGCCCGTGGCTGCCTCCTGACGTCATTCGTCCCAGTGTCCTGAGTTACGTCCACATTCTCCAGGCTGTTGGGGACTCTGTTTTACAGCCGTGGAAAGTGCTCGCAGCAACCCCCTTTCTAGCCATTTAGTGAGTGTGCAGAAGTCACTGCCGTGCCGTTAAAAGTGTCGACAAAGTGGTAAAACAAACCGCTGCGCGGTTGTTAAGGACCTTTCAGAGTGTTGGAATCGTGGAGTTAACATGAGCTAAGACTCTCATGCCCTTTTCACGTGTTCTGACCAAAGCACGTTCTCCCAGTCTCGTGCCTGTGGCCAGGTTGGTCACGTGTGTTCTGTGTCCTACCCCTTCCACCCCCTTGCTCTGCCTTGTGAATGTCTTTCTGGGTTTTCTTTGTCCCTCAGTTCAGAGTTCACAGAAAGCTATTGTCACCTGAAGGTTTGATCCTCTGCAGGTTTTTACTGAGGTGTTGCCAAGGCCTCAGGCCGCAGAGCCGGGGCAGAGCCCTGTGGCCGGAGAGTGGCGGCACAGCATGCGGGAATCTGCGTGCACGTGGCCCTCACACTGTCGGCTGCAGACAGACCTGCCCCGGCGACTCTGACATCGTGTTGCTGTGTAGTCCCCAGGCCCCGTTTTATCTACTTGCGTCAATCGCTGGGAGAGGGTGTAGAATTCTCTCTCTCTTAAATTGTTAATTGTTGCGTTGAGTATTTTGAAGCTCTGTTGTTGCACACGTACACATTTACGATTGTGAAGTCTTTCTGAAAAATTCACCCTTCTGTTGTTAATGAAGCATCCCCTTTCGTTCCTGTGGTCTTCGTCTTGAAATCTGCTCTTGTCAGTACAGTCGTTCCGACCTTCCCTGTGTGTTGTTTGTAGAGCGCACCTTACAGTCCACTTTACTTTCCACCCATTCAAACGCAGCGCGTCTCGTGTGGGCGGCACACCCTGGCATTCCCTCGTCCACCCAGCAATGTCTGCCTTTTCCCCGGAGCTCTGGGTCGGTGATGCTCCGTGGAATTGTTGATGTGTTTGGACTCAGGTCTTCCGTTTCACTGTTAGTTTTCCACACGTCCCATCTGGGGTTTTTTGGGTGTTTTTGTTGTTTCTCTGTTTCTTTTTTCTTGACTTTTGGATTATTTGAATATTTTCTAGAATTGGTTTTAATGTATCTGTTAACTTCTCAGTTATGCCTTTTTGTATTACGTCTTCAGTGGTCCTAGGGGTTCGAAGGCTCATTCTCAACATCTCACAGTCGTCTCAGGCCATGCGCTGCTGGTTCACAGAGGCTGCAGGCCGCGCAGTCGTGGAGGGCGTTCATCGCCTCCTCTCGGCCTTTTTGTGCTGTGGGTTTGGGTTCATAGGTGTTACGTCCACCCATGCCGTGCACTCCACAGTAAATACGATTTGCCTTGGAAAACCGTATGTATTTGAGAGAAATTAGGAGGCAAAATAGCCTCATATTTACTGTTTCTGGTGCTGTTCATGTTTTCTTGATGGTCCAAGTTTACGTTTGATGTCATCGCCCTTCAGCCCAAAGAATTTCCTTTGGAGTTTCTTGTCATGCAGGTCTGCGGCACACGTTTTATTTCATTCGAAAAAGTCTTTATTTCACTTTCATTCTTGAAGAATGTTTTTGCTTCATAAAAGTGTCTGCGGTGACAGGTGTTTTCATTCAGGATTTAAAGATGTTTAAAACCCTTGTCTGCTAATTTCATTATTTCTGTCATCTTGGAGTTGGTCTCATTGATTGTATTTTCTCTTCAGCATGGGCCATATTTTCCTGTTTATTTATCAACTAATTTTGAGTTGTATCCTGGATACTGTGAGTGACATAGTTGGAGACTCTGGATGTCCTGCCGTGTCACTTCTCTGAAGAGTATTGGCTTTGTGTGTCAGCGGCTCGGCCTCCGTGAGGTCTCCGTGGTGCTGCGGGTGGTGTTGGTGCAGCACAGCCTCCGCAAGGTCTCCGTGGTGCTGCGGGTGGCGTCGGTGCAGCTCGGCCTCCGCGAGGTCTCTATCATGCTGTGGGTGGTGTTGGTGCAGCTCCTTTTGTGTTAGCTGCCTGCTTTTGCAGCCCACCTCACATGTGTATGGCTCAGGGTCAGCCTGAGATTCGGGCAGCGTTTGCTCCCAGAGATTGCAGCCACCCGCACCCCCCCCTCCATCCTGGGAGCTTCCCCTCCCTTTCTGAGTCTCTGGTTCTCACATGTGAGACGGTGGGATTTGCACATGTGTGGCACAGTCCCATCCTAGTCAACCTAAAAAAAGCCTCAAAAAGAGAGAAGTGGCCAGTGCCATTTCTTTGTTCTGAGTGTGGAAACTCTCTCCAGGCTGTGTCTGCTCTTGGTTCTCTCCAGAGCCTCCAGGTGGGTTCTTAGGTTGATTCACAGTCATAGCGGTCTCTGGGAAGGTTGGTCTGACGGGAGCCCATCGCTGTCACCAGAAGCAGGACCCTAAACTTTATTACTGTTTTTTTTTTAATTCCATGACAAGTTATAAATTTTGTTTTGTTTTGTTTTGTTTTGTTTTTTGAGACAGAGTCTCGCTTTGTTGCCCTGGCTAGAGTGAGTGCCGTGGCGTCAGCCTAGCTCACA